AAGAAGAAGAAGAAGAAGAAGAAGAAGAAGAAGAAGAAGAAGAAGAAATCTAAGTTTACTTGAATGGAGTCCCTAAAGAGGAGGGGAATTCCTGAGGCTGTTGGCAGCGATGCTGGTCTGAGTGCTCTCCAATGAATGAGAGCCAAGAGGTAGACCTGGCAATGAAGCCTAAAGCCACTCTTTTTTTTTTTTTTTTTTTTTGGTAATGTTTAAATCTGCACACATAAATAGATTACCTACTTAATAAGCATATCAAAGCTCAGTGGCTCTTGACACAGACAGTCCTTCCTGTACTAACCTGGTTCTATTACATTATTTCTAGCTATGTTTGTTAAGTTCTATCCATTCACGAAGGGGAGAAATAGGGGTTTTCTTGTGTTGGGTGAGTGAGGGCATTGGGATAAGGTATGTAGCTCTCATTCTTTTGCAATCCTCTGACCTCTGCCTCCTGAGTGCTAGCACTAGGGACATGAGCTACCATGTCCAGCTGATTCGTGAGTGAAATTCCCTCTTCTCCATTCTTTTGTTGTTTTTTGGCACTCCACATGGATTTTAGGATTGTTTTTTCCTAGTCTGTAAAGAATGTTATTGGAACATTCATGATGAGAATTGCTTTGAATCTGTAGACTGCTTTTATTAAGATAGCCTTTTTTTTTTTTTTTTTTTTCTCATGGATCTTTTATTTTTTTGCTGAAAAAAAAAAAGGCTTCCTACCTGCAGACCTAGAAGCCTCAGGTTGGCGGAGTGGGCTTATCCAGACACGCTCATGATGTTAAATAGCATTCCTGGGTAGTGATTCTAGAGAAATGGTGCTGGCATAGATGGCTCGGAGCAGTAATGGGAAGGGACAGCGAATCACAGGAACCATAGCCTTCATGGTGGCACATGCCTTTAACTTCAGCGCTCGGGAGGCAGAGGCACGTGGATCTCTGAGTTCGAGGCCAGCCTGGTCTACAGAGTAAGTTCCAGGACAGCCAGGGCTATACAGAAAAGAAAGAAAGAAAAAGAAAGACAAACGAAATCAGAGCCTGGAGGCTTGTGAAGGAAAAGAGGTACTAGTGAGAGGAAGAGCCAAAGGCAGGTCCATATGGCCTTCTCTAGACCACACATCCCGAGAGTGCACAGCACTAGCTTTACCTTACCATCTCAGACAGGGTAAAGGGACCCGCCTAGGGCGCGCTGTGGGAACTACACTACCCAGCATGCAACTGGAAAAGAGTGAGGCCTTCCCGTCCGGACTTGGGCCTCCGGGGAGTTTCACTGACCTCTGAGCTCCCTTCTCATTTCTGCCACCACCCAACTCTTCAGGCCTAGCCCCCCGTCTGCGAGAGGGAGTGACCTCGAGGGGCGCCGCGAGATGCTCCCTCCTTCCCTCCTCATTGGTCCAGCTCAGCTGTCATTCGGGAGCGGGGAGACGTTTGCTTCCCGATTGGTGAGTTCTGTTTGGCGCCAACTAGGAAAGGGGCGGGGCGCGGGGGTCCTAAGTGTGCAGCAATTAACGCTAAGGCCACTTCGGTGGTGAGGGAGGTGAGGGCTTCTCCGCGGGCCGGACACCGAGCAGGGAGGGGAGAGGAAAAGTGAGGAGAGCTAAGCGGGCGGTCGCCCCAAGACTCTGGCCCCGCGGAGTTTGTTTGGATTTAATCTTGAGGTTGCAGGCGCCCGCCCGCCTGAGGGCCTCGCGGGGCTGAGAAGGAAGCACCGGTGCTTGTGGCTGGCGCCTGCCGAGTCCCCGACGCTCGCCCGTCCGCGCCGCTGCCCGTGGCCGCCGCGTCTCTGAACCGCGGGATCGTGTTTGTGTTTGATCCGCGGGCGCTGGCGGCGTGGCACGCGGCTGAAGCCGGTGCCAGCGGGGCGGGGCCCGGCGCAGCGGAGGCGGAGGAAGACGGAGCGGGAGTCCGGGCAGGCCCGGCGGCGCCATGGAACTGGGCCCGGAGCCCCCCCACCGCCGCCGCCTGCTCTTCGCTTGCAGCCCCACTCCTGCGCCTCCGCCCACGGGGAAGGTACTCTTTGGCGCGTCAGCTGCTGGCGGACTGTCCCCTGTCACCAACCTGACGGTCACCATGGACCGGCTGGAAGGGCTGGACAGGTGAGAGACCGGCGAGCGATGCCCCAGGCCGCCGGCCTCCGGGCCACCCTCGGGATGATCTAGCAGGAAGCAGGGTTTGTCCGGCTGGTTCTGATGCTCCGATCCGGGACGGCCTGGCCGGGGCCCGCCATGTGCACCCTCCCCCCCGGGCGGAATGTTGGGCGGGAGAGGCCGTTCGGATAGTCCAGGGCTATCCTCAGCCCGAGCCAGACCGGGTGCGGGAGAGGCTTCCTGGCTTGTTCACCCCTTTCGATTTCTCTGTACGCTGTCTCCATCCGGGAAGCTTTTGTAATCTAGCCCCACGGGAGAAATGGCTCGTCCGAGGGCCCTCACTTCCACTCTTTGCTGTACAGTCGCGCCAGATCTGTTTCCTGTAAGCTTTGTTCCTTCTCAACAAAGGGACACGGCATTTTCTTTTCTTGCATTTGTGCAAAATCTGTGTGGCTACTTGGCCGGCACGTTTCTTCTATCTACCTAGGTCTACCTTCTTACAGCTAGTCCTTTTTAGTAACTTTCTGTATTAGAAATCTCCGTGAACTTAGAAGTCCACTAACTGTGCTGCCCTATACCACTACCACTAAGAAAACACGTTCCGCTATTTTTAGTGAAGTTGCTTTTCCTTCGGTATTGGCCATCTTATTTTCTAAGCATGCCATAGGATTTTTCCAACCTCTGGAAAGCTGAGCCTCCTGTCCTAGTCACCTTTGCCCTTGCTCCCAGCATAGTACCTAAAACCGAGGCGCTCATTTAAGGAACCAACCCAGCATTTGCCACAGGCGTGTCCTACAGTGTGGCCCAAGGCCAGACTCCTTTCTTTGTTCAAATGCCAACTGGGGTACTGTGAGTGGCCAAGTGTGAGTGTGGGGTCCTTGCCTTGGTCTCAGAATGATGGTTTGTGGCAGCCTGGCTACTTCATGGCCATCTCCTGCATGTGGCTTTTATAAATTATGTCCCAGAAATTGTTCATGTGGAGGTTATTTCTCTTGGTTTCAGTGAGTATGGGAAACCAGTGGAGGTGAGAAGCAACAGCAGTCTACAGAGAATGGGCTCCTCCGAATCCACTGACTCAGGTATTTTATCCTTATGATCGATGTGTATGTGCACACGTATTCAGGCCCCTGCCTCAGTCCCTGAAGTTGGAGTTACAGGCCTTTGTGAGCTGCCTAATATGGTTGCTGGGAACTCAGTCGGTCCTCTCCACAGGAGCACCAAGTGCCATTAACCACTGGGCCCCTTATTTTTAATTAAAGCACGGTCTCACTGTGTAGTTCACATTGCCCTCATGCCTCTTGAGTGCTGTGGTTAAAGGCATGAGCACCGTGCCATAGCCCAATCACCCTTCATTCAGTAAGGTGCAGAGGTAGCCCAGAGATAGTTTACAAAGAGAAAGATAGGAGTCAAGTCCTTACTGCTTTTCTTTTTGAAAAGTACTTGTTTTTATTTTGTATGTGTGGACATATTTGCCTGTGTGCCTCTCATGTATGGACCATGTGCCTGCATTTCCTTGAAGGCCAGAAGAGGGTGTCAGATCCCCTGGAACTGGAGTTACAGGCCATGTGGTTGCTGGGAATTGAACTCAGGTCCTCTGTAAGAGCAGTTGTGTTCTTCTGAACCGTCTCTCCAGCACTCTGTTTTTTTAAAGACACGATCTTACTGGCCTCTTGGAATTCATTCCTAGCTGGTTGTATTTTTCATATCTCTAAATTAGTTGTATTTGAAAAAAATAACTCTAAAAAGTTATGGGTTCTATCCTATCTGAAAAAGCAATTAATCTTGATTTTAATTGGCCTCTTAAATCTTGTTTCTCGGGCTGGAGAGATGGCTCAGAGGTTAAGAACACTTTCTGTTCTTCCAAAGGTCCTGAGTTCAATTCCCAGCGACCACATGGTGGCTCATAACCATTTACAGTAAGGTCTGGTGTGCAGGCAGAATGTTGTAAAAATAATAAATAAAATCTTTTTAAAAAAATCTTGTTTCTCTTGATGGCATTTGCAAATAAGATTCATGGATGTACCTAGAAAAGGTTACTTAACACAATTTGTGTTATTTCCTAAGAATTTTGTTTTATTTTTTAAAGGTTTCTGTCTAGATTCTCCTGGGCCATTGGACAGTAAAGAAAAGTATGTATTCATTGCTTTTAAATTTTAAATTTAGAACAGTATTCTTTAAGTCTACTGGCACAGGCCTGTAGTCTCAGCTGCTCAGGAAGTTAAGGCACTTTAGGAAAACCCAGTGATACGAGTGCCTGTGTGGCTGATGTGAGGTGCTAGGTAGGTTTAGTCTCCAGATTCGAAGAGAAAGGAAACATGCTCGCTTATATTTGATATGGGATCTTACATTGAAAGCTCTGGCTGGCCTGGAATCAGATCTGCCTGCCTCTGCCTCCTGGGTGCTGAGGTTAAAGGTGTATGCTGTCACTTATGGTCAAAACTTGATAATTTTTGAATGAAGTTCTTCATACAGCTGTTCCTAGAGAGATACTTGGATCCTAGAAACACTGCTGAGAATAAATATATTGTTTTGTTTCAGCAGTTTCCAGGACTTTCCCTCCTTTATTTTAGCTGTAATTTCCCTTGTTCTACTTTTCGTTAAAACCTTAAATGAATGAATGTATGTATTTTAGTAGGCATCAAAGTTCTGTTTTGTTTTTCAATCTAGATGCCTAGTGTCTGGAATGCTCCTGAGACCAGGAAAGCTTTAGACATTCTTATATATCCTACAATGAGAATCTGATTTGCCTGTCCTACTCCCCATGCTATTGGCTAAGCGATATGAATCTGCTGATGTAAATACATCTTTATTCTTATATTTGCCTTTTGATCTCATTACAGCCTTGAAATTTCCCTGAGGAGAATAAATTCCCTACCTGTAAGTTCCATTGTCATTTTGAACCAATATCTGTAAACTGCCCCACTAAATGCCAGCTTCCCTACATTTAGGAAGTAGACATTGGTTTTTCTGCATTCCTGTAAGCACTAAGATGCAGGTAGTAAGGCATTACCTAGAGCAACGTCAGCAGTTGCTGCCTCTTGTGGACTTTGTCCTCAATCTCAGTTTTATCAAACCAGGAAATGTTCTTTTTAAGCGGATGTTACTAGAGGCTTGTTGGGGCAACCTTGTATGACTGATTACGTGTCAGGCCATTCTGAGTTACAGCAGGGTGGGACCCTGGGCATATGTACTGGTTACCTGCTGCAGTGTGTGGGAAGCTAGCTCTTCCAACCCCCTCTGCGTTTTTTTAAGAATTAAAGTTTTGTCTGGGTGTGATGGTCAGACCTGTAATCCTAGCACTTGGGAGGCTGAGGCAAGAAGCTTATCTCAAGTTCAAGGCCAGCCTGGGCTTCAAAAAAGGAAAAGGAAAACTGAGTTTTTCATTGCTTTTTCTTCCATGAACTCAATTTCTCATTTTCACTTTGACAGCAGAAGCTCTTGGGATGTAGCCCAGCACTAAAGAGGAGCCATTCTGATTCTCTAGACCATGACATCTTTCAGCTCATCGACCAGGATGAAAATAAAGAAAATGTAAGCATAGCATCAAAACTGTTGGCTGCTTGCAAGTAACATAGCTGGCTACCACTACATCACAGAAAGGGCACACCTGGCTTTTGTGATGCAGAAGGTTCTGTTAGGCTCCTTTCTAAGTTGTTTTGATTTTGTTGTTGTTTTAAATAAGGTAGCTATTACCTACTAAGGTTGTTCTAGAAATGAAATAAGATTGCATATGTAGAGAATTTAAGATGGTACCTGGCAGATAAACGTTCCTGGATTTTAGTAAGTAGCTTTTGTGAGGAGTAATTACATCCATGAGTGGTTTTATCTAAAAGAATCTATTGAAGACTCCTTTCACTGCTCCAATTCTAAGGTGGCTGTAAGCTCATGAAAGAAAATCTTAGTTGTGCCACTGGGCCTGCCTAGCAGCACCTTATTTCCTGTGAACACCTCTATCACATATATAAACACTAGAGTGGTAAACTAAGATCCAAAGTCATGAAGGTCTGTGGGATCTCAGGATATCTGAAATGGTGGCTTTGAGGGTGATGTGGTTTATCCAGAGGTCCATATCTCCCTGCCTGGCTTTCCCTTACAATCTCTAGGTTAAATAGAAAACCAATGGCCTGTATGAACATAAATTTTGTTCGGCAACTTTGGAAGGTGTCATATAGTATTCTGTGGAAATGGATTTCCTCTTTGTGTTTTTGGAGTAGTTTGTCAGCCTTTGTAATACTACTGGACCAACTTTCTGGATGCTTTGTTCTAAAGGAATAATAGCATAGGTTAAACAACTTCCTGGAGTTATCTGGCTTTAGGATCTTAAGGCCACCATTTAACCTGTAAGACCTAGTTTCTTTGTGAAATGGGAACAGTCAGGTTGTATTTGGTTAGACAGGCTTATATTCAGAAAGTACTTGGTAATGTAAAAACTGACATTAGCAGTTACTGCTTTTAGTGCTTAATAACAAGTGCTTATGTACTGTTTAAGATAGGGCACATTTTTATGTGCATGGGTGTTTTGCTTTCCTGTATGTCTGTGCTGTGTGTGCCTGATGCCTGCAAAGGCCAGAAGAGGATGTCAGATCCCCCAGAATGGATTACATATGGATTACCACCCTATGGGTGGTAAGAATCAAACCTGAGTCTTTCAGAACTGTCCTCACTGGGTGGTGGCGCACACCTTTAATCCCAGCTCTTGTGGGAGGCAGGGGCAGGTGTATCTCTAAGTTCAAGGACAGCCAGGGCTACACAGAGAAACCCTGTCTTCAAAAACAACAATAACAACAAAAAAATGGTGCTATACTGTACTCTCTGCTGCTAAGCTATCTCTCTAGCCCCAGCACATTGTAACTGATTTTGTTTAGTGAACAAGAAAGACTGCTTTTGGGAGCATGCCACAGGGCCCATGTGGAAGACAGGCCAACTTTCAGAAGTCTGTTCTTTTCCACCATGTTGGGCTTGGGGATGAAATTCAGATCTTCAGGCTTCTCAGCAAGTGTATTTTTCTGCCAAAGCCATCTCACCAGCCCTAGAGCCTGGTTTTTATGGACAGTAGAAAATATATAAAATATATTGTTTTGCAGGAAGCATTTGAATTTAAAAAGCCAATAAGACCTGCATCTCGTGGCTGCCTGAATACACATGTGCATGAGGAGAGTAAAGATCTCTTCACACACAGGCAGAATTCAGCCCCAGCTCAGATGGTATGTGTTTTGGCTTTCCTCTGGGGAGTTCATTATGGGAAGAGAACTTACAACATGGCATGTGTGTGTGTTGTGCCAGCATCAAGCTTTTTAATGCTGAGCCTGTGGTGCATGCCTATAACCCAAGCGCTTGGAAGATAGAGGGAGGAGGACCAGGAGGTCAAAAATAGATCAGTTCTGCCATGACTTAAGGCCAGCCTAGGCTACGTGAAATCCTGTTTCAAAAACAAAAAAGCAAGTTTACCACTATTGCTAGGTGGCTCATGTCTGTAAACCCAGCATTTGGGAGGCGGAGGCCTATGAATTAGCTGGCATTTGGCAGATTAGAAAGTTTCAAAGGAGTGTGATTTATTTGTCAAAGGACGTGTAAATGGCAGAGAAATTTAGTACGCTTTGAAAATATATCTGAAATTGAATATATTTGGTGGATATCAAATCAGAATGCCAAGATTTTCTGTGATTGCTTGATTATTAAAGACATCTGTAATTATAGTTGCTGAGGGTACAGACTTTAAAAAGTCATTGTTTATCTTACTGGTTTGGCTTTTTTGTTCAGATTTTGTTTTGTTTTGTTTTGTTTTTGAGACAGGCCCTCTTAAAGCCCCAGTCTAGCCTCAGATTTGCTATGTCAGAACTAGTCTTGAACTCCTACTGCTCTTACCTCTGGGATTATGTATGTTTGCCACCACACACATCAGAGTTAGGGTGTTAAACAGGTGTATGATCTTTATTTGTTTGTTTATTGGCTTTCCAAGACAAGGTTTCTCTGTGTAGCCTTGGTTGTCCCGGACCACTTGAACTCACAGAGATCCACCTCCGCCTCTCCTCCGCCTCCCAGAGTCAGAGTTCTGGGATTGCAGATGTGTGCCACTGTGTCACCCGGCTGATCTTAGTAACCTCTTAAACCTCAGTTTTCTTTTAATTAACAAAAAGCAAGGGATTGTTTAGGTATGTTGGCACATGTAGTCCCAGGTTCTGCAGGAACTGAGACAGGATGAACATTTGTGTCTAGGAAGAAATAAGGGATGGCTTAAGTGGGATTATGGTTATAAAGATTTTGTTGTAATGTCTAGAACATAATAATCCCTCATTTTAAAACTGGGCACTATCATTTTAAATCATTTTTATTTTTAATTATGTACGGTGGGGTAGTATGTGTACATGAGTACAGATGTCTGAGGAGGCCAGAGGCTTAGAATCACATGGAGCTGAGACTACCGGCAGCTGTGAGCTGTCTGAGGTAGCACTTCTGCAAGAGCAGTATTTGCTATGAACCACTGGCCCTCTCTCTGGCTCAGCTATCATTTTAATCCTCCAGAGCTGCATTAGAGGCTATAACAGGTTCCCTTTGTTTGCATCTGTCTGAATGGAGTGACATGGGCATTCTTGAACTTTCTTTTGCCTGCTGTTTTGTAATCTCCATAGACACTTGTATTTTCAACAGGTTGTATACTATCATGGCTTTCACATAGTACTACATATGACTTTAGTTCTCTTTGCAAGAAGAGCTCAGGAGCCAGGGAGTCCAAGCCTCTTCTGGACTCTAAGGGTGCCAGGTTCATGCACGGTGCATGTGCGTGCTGGTTGGTTGGTTTCTTGGTTGGTTTGTTTGTTTGTTTTAAGCAGTCCAGCTAAGCAAATCAAAGGGGACTAGAGTTCTTGCTAACTGTGTCTTTCAGCGATCTTCAAGTGAAAGTGAATCAGGAAGTTTTAGTCCTCTTTTTACACCCCAGTCACCTGTGAAGGCCACTTTGTCTGATGAAGATGATGGCTTCATAGACCTTCTGGATGGAGAGAACCTGAAGGTACCATCTGGGTGTATGTGGGTGTGTGCCTACTCATTCTGATCACCCTGGAGAAGCCTCCTAAATAAATAGTTCCTCAGGGTCTCAGCTGACTGAATGATCATTTATTTTGTAAGAGTTTATTGAGACTCTTCTCCCTGCTTGACTAAATCCTGTTTCTGGATGGGAGGTGAGATGATACTGGTAAGATCTTTTCTCTTAGCCTGAGGACACTAACCAGGCTTTTAGGAGTAGGGAAGGATGAATGTATTGAGATGCTTCTGGAACTAAGATAGCATAGTGGTAGAGCTTGTGCTTAGGGTATACAAGGCGTTGGGTTCAACTTCTCAGCAGGCTTGTCTGGCATGTAACTCTCCACGCAAAGCATTTAAATTGATGATAGTCTCTTCTGGGTCCTTTTTCTCCCAGCCCCTCTGTGGGCCCTGCTTTTAAAAAGCCGTTTTTCTCTTCCTCTAGAATGATGAGGAGACTCCATCATGCATGGCAAGCCTCTGGACAGCTCCCCTTGTCATGAGAAGACCTACAAACCTTGTAAGTTATCCTGGTATGTGGAGTTCTGAGGTGTTGAACCATTAAACAAAGTAGTCCTTAACTGTGTTGGCTGGAGTAACATAGGATTTAGGACCTGGACTTTAGAATAATTGCTGTTCACGTGGTCAGACTGTAATCCAAGGTGGACCTGTCTCTTCCGTCCTAAGGGTGATCGGTGTAGGCTGTTCGACTCCCCTCTGCAATGCAGCTCCGGTGGCAGCGCCAGCACTCCCACAGTGCTGAAGAGAGCAGATCGACCCCACGAGGAGTCTTCTCGAGGGAGTACAAAGCGGAGGAAGAGCACAGCCAGTCCTGTGAAAGCAGATATTCTAGAGCCAACCCAGGAGGTTAGTGAAGTTCTCCTTGGTGTACAGTGATAGCTGTCTCTCTACTTGGTGGTCCTGTCCTTGCCATGCCTTACTACTTTGTTTTTTGAACAGGGTTTCTCTTTGTAGCCCTGGCTGTCTTGGAACTCACTCTGTAGACCAGGCTGGCCTTGAACTCAGATCCATCTGCCTCTGCCTCTTGGGTGCTTGAGTTAACCCTGAGCATATATTTCTCAAGTGCTTGGTCATGAAGCCCCATCTTTACTCTAGTTTTCCTATTGATTTTATTGTTTGTTTATTTAGTGTTACATGCCACAGAGCACATGTGGAGGTCAGAATACAACTTGTTCTTAACTGGTTTCGGCATGTTTCGCCAAGCAACTCGGGCTAGCCTTACTCTCTATCCTTTTGTCTTAGCACCCCAACACGGACTTTTGGCAAAAGTTGTTACACCTGTCTGTGTTCTGGTGGCTAGTTTTTTGTTCTGTTTTTTGTTGTTGTTTTTTTTTTTGTTTTAGGATCAAACTCCCTAGTGTCCTGGGCTGCCCTCAAGCTACATAGTTGAGCTTTGAGCTTTTCCTCTGCCTCCCTAGTGCTGGAATCACAAACCATGCCCTGGTTTTCATTTGGGTTTAGAATTTTATTGGTCTTCTTAAATGTGTGTGTGTGTGTGTGTGTGTGTGTGTGTGTGTGTGTGTGTGTGTGTGT